GAGGGAGGCGAGAAAGACCGTATTTTCGGTTCGCGGAGGCTCGTGATATCGGAATAATATCCTCCTTTTTGTATCGGCGCTTGAGTGTTCCCATAATCGCGAAAAAGATGCACCTCTTGTGTCGTATTGGAGGTTAAACATTGTACACAGAGAAAATTTTCTCTTAGAATTTACCCCAAAAATCATGGTAATCGTGAGACAATATAGTACATTGGAAGAATTTTATATAAGAGATTTCCTGATTAAATATTTACCACAATTAAAAATATTAATATAAAATATCTTCGATCAATTTTACTATGTACGTATTAATATTTTTTATTCAGGGTAAATTCTAAGAGAAAGTTTTCTACGTGTATATAGGTATCAGTCTTTCTCGTAGCCACACATTCTTTTCGAGAGAAATTTACACTCGTAAAATTTGAATTTTTTTTTTTATATAAAATGCTGCGGGAAACATTTTTAATTAAATAACTATATTAAAATTTATCATCCTGCAATATCTCTACGCATTCATTCAAGAATTAGAATATATTGTATAATTATATTTAAGTCGGTTTTTCCTTAATTTTGGACTCCGCAAATGTGTTAGAAAGGCGAGAGGCGCGACGAAATATCAAAATATCCTGTGTGTGCATTATGACTCGCGACGGAACTTGACGCTTGATAGTGTTCTGCGTGTATTCGCATAAAGGCCCGAGGTATACAGTTGTCGGGCGCGAATGTGCGTATCGCACACCCGGGGGCTCTAACAAATAGTTCCGGTTATCGGTGCTTTCGCGCGCGACTTAGGCTCTCCCTTTCTCTGCTTCTCTCGCACTCTCTTTGTACGTGCATCGTTAATAAACTCACCCAAGAGGAGAGTATATGTGTGTTCGAAGGCCAAGTTTAGATGTCCAGATTTGTCGGAGGAGATAGATACCAGAAGGAGCTTGCATGCTGTGCATGTAAACTATGCTCGAGTTAACTTCCTCAGATACTGTATATATGCCCTGTATACGTACGTCAAACGCTCTCTATTCACATCGAAATTGTGCTATTTTATATTTCCAATGAAAGTTGTTTCAATGATGAATGCATCCTGTGTGTATAATATTTTTATACCAAAATACACTCTTTCGTAAGAAAGTCATGCGCGCGTTAAATTAATCTTGAACGCATTTTTCTTTATATATATATATATATATATATATATATAGCACTCTTTTATTTTATATTTATTTCTTATTTATATTTTATTTATATTTCTAAATATTCTATATTTATTTTTATTTGTAAATTATATATTTCTTATGATAATTTTTAAATAATTCCTTAAATGAGAAAATTAATCGAGAAGGCTTGGCGACGCGAGAAATATTAATTAATTGCGTCAAGTTTATCGCGCGGACTCAGCGAACAGCTGAGCCTTCGCACGGATGATTTCTACAAACGACAGCGTAAACTCTCTCTCGGACGATGATGCAAAATCATCGAGAGACAGCGGGCGTTCCGTTCCTTGTTTTTCTTAGGCCTTCGCCGGAGTTCGAGGAGGCGAGGGCGAGGGCAGTGAATTCATGATTAATGCTCGTGACGCGGGATTTGATATAAAACCCGACACCAGTTCGGACCGCCGTCAGTTTTACCAACTAACGAGGGAGCGTAACGCATACCTTATCCATATACCTCCCCATAAATCTCGCCGCGCGTTTTGATTTACGTACCTCTAGCAGCAGCAGAGCGTTCGCAAAGAATCTCGCGCGATATTTTGCCGAACCGCTGCTGCCTCTGCTTGTCCCTTTTACGAGAGCGAATACAATCTCGATCCTTCGGCCCCCAGCGAAAATTGAAAGCCTCTTTCTCTCTCGAGACGGATTGACAGCTGACAAATCGCTGTATAAATAAATGCGTCGCATTTTAACGCGAAAAGGACGCCTTTCGCGACGATATTTCTTCCTTTCCGTTCGACTCGCCGAGATGATGAAACGAACCTCGATCGACCATGTCCGAAATTAAATGCCACGTATACTTAAAAGGATTTGCGAGCTATTAATATGTACATATAAACTTTTAATTAGCTGTTGCCTCGCGCAACCGAGAGCTGAGCGTAGAAACTAGTTATTCGTAGAAACTAGTTATGAACGAGGATATAGAGAGCAAAAGGAGCGCGAAATTTCCATAAAAGAGGAGTGTATCGTAACCCAAACACACAACATCGGGCCAGCGGCCCGTATATTTCAGGCAGCAGGGGCTAGACTTTTAAAAAGTGATTCATGGCCCGAGTATCTCTCTCTCTCTCTCTCTCTCTCTCTCCAATATTACTTTTGCTTTATGCGATACATTAATGGATATTCATTTCACCAAATAAGTTTTACGTTATTATAGTTCCACGAATTGCTGGCTGATATACTAGCAGCCCGCAGGATCAAGCTCGATATATCACGCACGATCCTTGTAGATTATTGATCATCATCCTCCTATACGTAATCCTCTTCTCTAAAAAAAATTCTCGTCTTTTATTCTTCGATAAAAAGAATAAGTGATGTAAGAACCCGAAATTTTCGCATTTATTTATGCATTCGGTAAACTAATCAATTATCATTATTTTCGGGACGACTAAATGAGATGTGAGACATTCGTGATATTTGCGAAAAATATTCGCCGACGATTATATGATCGATACGCGGATTTATTTATATCGTCGATGCGGTTCTTGCAGAATCTGATTTATAACAAAATGTATCCTCTCTAAAACGTTTTATTGAACGTGTGAAAGTGCGAAATTATACCGAAGGGAAGTTTGATACATCACGCATCCTTGTAGATTATCGATTATCCTCCTACGTAATCCTATTCTCTAAAAAAAGATTCCCGTCTTTTATTTCTCGATAAAAAAATGAGTGATGTAAGAGCCCGAAATTTTTGCATTCATTTATGCATTCGGTAAATTAATCAATTAATTATTTTCGAGATGACCAAATGAGATGTGAAACATTCGTGATATTTACGAAAATATTCGCCGATTATACGATCGATACGCGGATTTATTATTATATCATCGGTGCGGTTGTCACAGAATCTGATTTATAACAAAATATGTATCCACTCTAAAACATTTGATTGGACGTGTGAAAGAGCGAAATTCTATCGAAGGGATACATATACGTACATATATGTATCTCTCATCGTTGACGGATCAACGATACTCCGAGGCGGACTTGGTAACGAGGCGAAAATCGAAAGCGCGTATGTGCATCTCTATTGAGGGGGAGTCTCGCGTTGCAGCTGCAGCGGATGCATCTCGCAGATGCATTTCGTACGCCAATCGGCCGTATCGGGGATACACGAGCCACACACGTAGCGGTTTCTCCTCCTTTATTTCGACGTGGTTAAATGCACGCCGTCCGCGACGGCGTCTTATAAATAGCGACGCGCCCGCGTCGAGGCGCTATAACACAGTTAACAAACGGTAAAACTAACACCGCCTCCTACAATAACATTTCGCTCCGGTCACGTGTTTTCCGCGGGTCGACTATTATAAGATCCATGACTGCTTCGATCCCCTCTGTCTTTTTCTCTCCGTCTCTGATTCTCGCTGTTTGCCCTTTAGCCTTTGCGTTCCCTCTCCGTATCCTTTCCTCCGATCTCCAAGAGTCAAGTATTTTTCGAATTTTTCTGCAGCTCATTAGTTACGCAAATTAATTTTTTTCACGCTATAAATAAAGTCCCAAAATATTAGCATTTATCATCTGTATCATAGCATCTTAATTAGAATCCGTTTTTATTTCGAAATGATAATTTACCACGCAGCTTGAAGGATTCTTTACGTCCATCATTATTTATAGGAATATATACTATTAATAAAATTTTATTTTAATTCGGGATGCATTTTTATTTCTTATTTATGGGCGAGACTTAATTTTTTCTCTTCTCGATCTTCTCGTGTTATTTGTTATTGGTGAATTTATTCGGGCCCTCGAGTCTCGAGATTCTGCGAGAAGAGGAGCATACCGGTTTCGGGGCCCGGGATATCTAGCCAACGATCGAAAGCCCGACGTTGATTTATGTACGAGACATCCGAACGCTACGCCCTTGCTCGTTAAGGTCGAGCGAGCTGCCAGACGCATCCCGCGCCGGCCGGCCGGCTATTTAGGCATCGATCGCCGGCTCGGAAGTTTTACGAAACAGCGCGGATACACGCAGCACGACTCGCCGCTGCAGAGTTACCCGACCGGGTTACCGAAACGGCTCGGCTCACAGCCGAGGCTGCGTGTGTGCTTTGATAGTCCGAATTGCAAACGAAGCGGCGCGTGCATTCGACCGGGTCGGCCTGTTCTCGCGCACGTCATTCCCTCTCTTTCGCTCGGGATTAAATTCGAATCTATTCGGTATTCCCGGTTTCCTCTATATGTGAAACGCGAATGAATACTCTATCTCCAGTAAATATTCTCTCATTCGCAGAATGGATTACATGCTATTCCGAGAAACGAGTTATTAGCGAGAATTGACTCCCTCTTGATGCTGGAAAATATTACTGAAAAGGTGGATTATTAATACGCGGTGTATCACATGTAAAGATTGTAAATTATTAATAAGAGATTTCTTTTAGATATCAAACTCTTTAAATTTATCTTTTGCGTATATTAAACGAAAAATATTATTATGATATTCATTACATAGGTGTCCCATAGGAAAATGCTAAAACCAATCAGCTATCATTTTTTAATGCATGCAGTTTTTAATTGATATAAATAAAATACAATTATAGTATACAAACATTTTATTTATATATACATATAAAAATTGTAGACTTTCCTCCTTACGCATGCATTAAAAATGACAGCTGATTAGTTTCAGCATTTTCCTTCGGGAGAAAGGAATTTTCATTTTCTTTCTTTACTGATTTATAATTAACAATGTATAAAAATGAGAAATAATGGCATGTTACTGTGCTACTTACGATATAAATAATTAATAGAAATATGTGAATGATGAAAAAAAGTACCATTTGCTTATTGCAGGCGGCAGTTATGCGAGCTACGCAGCCATGAACGGAATATCCTTGAACACGAGACCCGCGCGGCGGACGAAGCTCTTCCCCACACGAACGATGACGTGCCTCATGACGTTGCTGCTAATATTCACGACGACGTTGTCGAACGTACAATCGGAATCGGCGATGAATCCGATGGGTACCATCGTCGGCTCGGGCTCGGCGATTTCCTCGTCGTCCTCGTCCTCGTCCGGCGGCTCCTCGTCCTCTTCGTCGTCGGTGATCGGCGTAGTGTCGGACGGCTCCGGTTCCGGCGGCAATGGGGTGAACGGAAACGGCGGTAACGGCGTGATCGGGAACGTCGGCGGTGGCAGTATAAGCGGAGGCGGACACTTGGGCACCGGGACCGGCGGCAACAACGGCATCGGTAGATGCGAGGAGATCACGATCCCGATGTGCCGCGGCATCGGTTACAACCTCACCGCCATGCCGAACGAATTGAATCACGACACGCAGGAGGAGGCCGGCCTGGAGGTTCATCAGTTCTGGCCGCTCGTGGAGATCAAGTGCTCACCGGACCTCAAGTTCTTCCTCTGCTCCATGTATACGCCCATCTGTCTACCCGAGTACACGAAGCCGTTGCCCGCCTGTCGCAGCGTCTGCGAAAGAGCACGCGCTGGTTGCGCTCCACTTATGCAGCAATATGGTTTCTCGTGGCCGGAGCGAATGGCGTGCGAGCGCTTGCCGAATCACGGCGAGGATCCGGACAACCTGTGCATGGAACAGGATAATCGCACCAGCACCAGCACCGGTCCGATCGGCGGTAACGGAGGCACGGCGAGCAGCGGTGGCGGAGGACCACCTGGTTCCCCGGCGCGACCCACTAAGGCCAGCAAAACCTCGCAGCCACCTCGCTGCAAGCCGGGCAAGAATCAAAAAAACTGCCAACATCCCCCAGGGGAGAGGACGAGGGACTGCGCGTGCAGATGCAGAGCGCCTCTCGTGCCTCTGGGGGTGGGTGGCGCGGTGATCCCGGGTCCGATAAGCGCCGTCAGCGGCACCGTCATCGGGAGCACCGGGGTCAACGCGGGGGCTGGTCTGGCCGGCATGGCCGTAAGTGGAGTCATACCGGCGCCAGCGCCACCGTCGATGGGGGGCATCGGACGAAGCATCATTCAGGAGGTGCCGGATTGTGCCCTGCCGTGTCGCGGCGCGTTCCTCACCAACGAGGAGCGCGAGTTCGCGGCAATCTGGCTGGCGTTATGGAGCGGCCTGTGCGCCGCCAGCACACTCGTCACCGTCATCACGTTCCTGATCGACACCCAGCGTTTCAAGTATCCTGAGCGGCCGATCGTCTTCTTGTCGGCCTGCTACTTCGTCGTCTCCGTGGGATACCTGTCGCGCAGCATTTTCGGCCACGAAGAGATCGCCTGCGACGGACCGGCTTTGAAATCAGGCGCCCAGGGCCCGGGCGCGTGCGTCACCGTTTTTCTCATGATCTACTTCTTCGGCATGGCATCCTCCGTGTGGTGGGTGATCTTGGCGTTCACCTGGTTTCTCGCCGCTGGCTTGAAATGGGGAAACGAGGCTATAGCTTCGTATTCGCAGTATTTTCACCTGGTAGCATGGTTGGCGCCGACGGTGCAAACAGTTTGGGCGTACGTGGCGGGTGGTGTGGCCGGTGACCCGGTGGCTGGAGTCTGCACGGTCGCTCCTGAAGGAGTGCGCAACTTCATCCTGGCGCCTCTATTCGTTTACCTTCTGCTGGGCACGAGCTTCCTCCTGGCCGGTTTTGTGAGTCTGTTCCGAATTCGATCGGTGATCAAGCGCCAGCCTGGCGCCAAGGCGGACAAACTCGAGAAGTTGATGATACGAATCGGCGTGTTCAGCGTCCTCTACACGCTACCAGCTGGCGCCGTGTTAGCTTGTCACATCTACGAGTCGTCTCTGCGAGACGAGTGGCTCAGCTCGCTGGCATGTCCCTGCCGACCGCGAGCGAGACCACTCTATTCCATCCTAATGCTCAAGTACTTTATGGCTCTCGCAGTTGGTAGCACTTCGGGCGTCTGGATCTGGAGCGGCAAGACGGTCGATTCTTGGAAGCGACTTTGGAGGCGTTTGTTCGGCGGAAATCGCGGTCCGGGTGGTCATATGGGCCCGGGCGGCGGCATGGTGGCCGGCGTGACCGGCATGAGCAGCGGCATCGGCAGCGTCGGCATCAAGGGAGTCATGGGTCGCGGTATCGCGGTGCCTTATCAAACGGCGCCCGGTCCGGGCAGCGCTCTACTACCACCGGGAAGCGTCGCCAGCGCGTCCCAGCATCATCTGCACCATCACGTACTCAAGCAACCGCCACTCTCACACGTATGACGTCACCAATCGGCGGGGGGCGACATGAACACCGCTGGATGCGATCAGCAGTCACAGCAGCAGGAGAGGCCTTCCGCCCTCAGCAACTACGGGCCCATCTAGCCCTTCGCCTCGGCCTCGCGCAGACACAACGCGACGCCGCACACAGCGCCGCACACGGCGCCGCACACGCCCCATTCGGCGGCGACCATCTACTCCAGGAGGTCGCTCGCGTCCACGACGGGGCCGCTGACGCCGGCACACGGGATCGCACCCTCCTACACGCAGGCCACCGAGGTGTGAAGGAAGGAACACGTGTGGAGACACACGTGGAGATTGGACGACGAGCGGCCAAGGTGCTTCTCGATTACCGATATACGTATTTAGCCTGTACGTGTCTTCTCCCGCGGGAATCTCGAGGAATTCTCTCTTCAGCAACGGACCATCTCGTCAGTGTCTTCGTTTCATGTTGATTAATTTCCAAGAAATTGTCTCTCTAATGAATCCTGGTGAGTGAACGACGCAACGCATTCTTTTTTTACATTTTTTTACACAACATTGACGGGGAGAATCGCTCGAGTGCCGCGGTATAGTGAGATTGTGATTTAGAGGAAAGAAAAAAACTCTGTGACACGCGCATGAACACGTACATGCGTGTGCACGATAGCAATGAACAGTGGTGTCGATAGATTTATCTGTCTTTAATCCGTATCTCTATCTATCTCTCTTTAATCTTTCTTACATCTTCTTCTCGTAAAAAGCGGTGCTCGTAAAGCCCGCTAACGTGTCCGTCTAACGTGTATCTCGTCTCGTCTATTTATCTAATCTAGCCATAAAAAGCCATGTCGGGAATGTACACACATTCGGATGCGACGCGAAAAGCGGCAGCTTGCTTTTTCCTCTCTCCGTTTCTGAAAGGGAGGGAAACTGCTAGATCCTCTCCGCGATGTCGCGCTATAAAGTCCAGGCTCTTTTCATATACCGACTCTTCGTCACTGCCGCTCCTCGCAATCGAAGGGAGTCGCGAAACTCTGAAAGTATTTCCGATGAAAGCAAGCTGTCGCCGCTCGCGACGATGAACCCGCGACGATGGGCAAAAGCGAGTGTACAGGACAGACAAGTTAGAGTAAGTGGGATGGACTATTGTAAATATTGTTCTTAGGTGTTAATTGATGCTGTAAATAAAAAAAAAACGGTCGCCAGGTACGTTGTAGGGCGTTGACGCGAGGACGATCGTGCTCGTGGCGAGCGTTGCACATTGTATCCTTCCACAAGCCCTTATCAGCCAAAAGTTGTCGCACTCGATGTAACTTGGGAGAATCCTTTAATTCAGACGCTTTGTGTCAAGTTGTCAAGCCGAAAACTGGAAATACGCCGCTTTTGCCAACTTTTCTCGAGACAGATGACATTCAATCTCTTTGATGGTTAAAAGATCTTATTTTAATTTTAAAAAAATATATATATATATTTAAAATTTATCGATCGACAAAAGTTCTTTTAACTCAAAAAATCGAATCTGTTGTGAAAAATTGATAAATCATCGATGATTTTGAATTGAATGATTGATTTATGATTTTTGTTCAAAAAAGAAACCTTGAGGAAGGTTGATGAAATTTGGCATAAATGTTATTTTGTTGAGAACCTTTATTTAATAAGTCTATAATTAATATTATATCACAAATTTTATATATATATAAAGTTATATATTTTTTAGTTTATGATAAGAATAATTTATAATTTCAGATTATATAACAATTTTTAAGATCTGCTTCCGCAATAATAGGCCGACCAAAAAGCGTCATTATTGCCACGAGGGGACGATCGTCATGAAAACTAGGTCCACAGTACGCATTCGTACAGATATATAAGTATATACATATAGGTCTGCCTCGCGAAGATCGTACGATATAATTTAACAAACATGTCAATGTATTAGATCGAACTTTTTTTATACCGTAAAGTAAGATCCTGTCAGAGTCTTGTCGCGTTCATGTTCTAGTTGATGATCATCGTAAAGAACCTACGAAGAGACAGGAAAAAAAAGATGCGACGCGCTTTTCAGTCTTACATTTCGATTCGATGATCGGTTCTTTTGCGCCACGTGTGTCGCGAATAAGGGTGAACGAAACGAGTGATAGCGAAATAAAGGGACGATTTTGCCTTACGGCGGACGCAAAAGAGCGCGAAAGGAAATCTACATGCACCCCAAATCGTATGGTGGATGGAGGAAAATTATGCGCGCGTGCGTATGTCATTCTCATGTAAATCCCGTCGATCTAGAAGTAGCCCCCAAGCGTGAGATTACGCGCGAGATATAACGGAAGTAACAGCCCTTAAGTATATACATATTATACGTGTGACGGCATCTTGTCACTAGCAATATCAGCAGAATCTTTTCTAGTATCGGAAAAATTGTAGACAGAAAAATTTTAATCAGAGAACACACACTATGGCATCTCGTAATGGAAACTACGATCGGATATATATTAAAACTTATTTATTACGACAATATTTCGAACGAGAATTTTAGATGATACATATATATATATACATTTATTGGACCTCGGGTTTTTTCAAATCCGCAAAGAATATTATAATGTGCAATTCAATGCAAAGTTTTTTTGATTGATCATAATTAAAGATGAGAGAAAGAGAGGGTGGAATATATGGCAATTCTAAATCACTGCCCACCTGTATTTCTTTACGAGATGTTGCGAGTGCATCAAAAACAAGACGACTGAAAAACGAAAACTGCCTCATCCAACTTAAATACCGTCGAGAACGTCGTGTCTCGGACGGAAACCTCTGCCAAAACGGAACGTACACGCGTAATAGTGTTATAGAGTAGCAGGAGTAAAAACGTCTTATAATTAGTATTCACATATCACGCCAATACATAACCGATAAGGGAGAGGAAAGGGGTAGGAAGAAGGGGAGAATAGTCGATATCGCGTTTAAACGAAAGTGAGAAAGAGGAAAGAAAAAGGAAAGTGCCAGAATGCGAGTCTTGAATACAAATACACTGTGTGAGAAACGCGGTTTCTCGTCCGTGGATATTCGAGATATCCCCGGAACGGATCTGTAGAGAGATGACGTTAGAGAAACCAATACGAGAGTTAGGAGTCTTTATAAGTATTTGTAAGCCACTTTTTGTCACACTAATTGTCAATAAAAAAGAGAATACTGTGTGTACCACGAGTGTGTGTTTCGAGAACACGTGTTCCGAGATCGGCATGTTAGAGTATATCGTCGTTCCGCAATATTATCCGCGCTTCGCCGAAGCGCGATACACATCAGAGAGCCTCTCTCTGCTGCCTCCCCTTCTTTAGTTTTCATCCGTGCGTTTTTCCTCGTTCATGCATTTTTTTACGTTCTCCGACTCGCGCGACGAGTTTCACACGCGGCCGACATTGGTCGCTTTGTACAATTTTTACGTTGCCATAGTAACCGTATAGATGTAAAAAAATAATAATAATAATAATAAATCGACCGTCTCTGTCGCGGTCAATCGCAAAAAAAAAAAATATATATATATATATATTATATAAAATATAATATATATATATGTATATATATATATATATATATATATGAATGTGTGTATATATATATGCACACACACACACGTCCGCGTGTATATACATACGCGTATATTCAAAAATGTATACGATTTTTAATACATTTTATTATTATTTAATTTTCCTGAGTCTCAGTTGTGCTTCCCAAAGCCTCTTCTCGTCGACAACGGTTTCCTCTTTCCCGTTTCCCGTTCGTTTTCTTACCCTAGTTACCCTCGAACACCCCTCGGCGCGATGCTGAAGGGCGTGGCGTATCGACGCTTTGCATCTCACGGATAAAAACGGATCTGCGTATCTCACCGCTGCCTAGGTAAAACGACGATTTATTTATAGATACTTATTTACGTACGTATAATTTCCTGACTGACAACATTTTTATTGTTTCCCGATTCTTTTTTAATTTTTCTTCTTTTTTTTTTTTTTTTTATTATTCTTGTTAGAAAGAGGGAAACACTTTTATTCAAATCAATTTACTGCTTTATATATTGCAGTACTTATCAAAATTATTCTAATATGCGAAGACAGCCACTCAAAGAGATAAAAGTTTCTTTATTTAACACCGTCTCGCGATATAACTTGCATAACTTGTGCATTTTAAAGAGAAAATATATTTCGATCTCCTTTTATTCAATTTACAAAGTTACCCCGCTACGTTAGAAAGTTTCGTATTCCTCTCGCACAACCTTAACAGTAAGAAGGAGAAGAAGAAGACAACGACTGCATCGGGCGCACCGCCAGCCAAGTCAGGGGCGAATCACCCCATAACGTGAGTCACCGTGCAACGGGGCTGAAATGGAAGGAGTCGGAGAAGGGTTGCGGTTCAAATTTATGGTTCACTTGGAGTGTTATACGTTTACAGTCTGGTTACTTGGGTAAGAGATAAGGATCTCGCTCTATCTTTCTCTCGTAACTGCTCGTAATTATTGTTGAATTAATTGGTCGAATTATATACACTGCTTTCTCCTTAATTAGAGCGCCGCAGATGAAAAATGTCGCCGTAAAAATATGATCGATTGCAGTATCCTATAAACATTCCAAACGAGCATTATATCGTATTATATATTGTTTATTATATTATATAAAATTAGCCTCATATAAAAAGGAAGTTGGTGTACTCAATGATCTTTTTATTATATATTACTCTGATTTGGAGCAATTCTAGTTTTATCCGAAAATATAATCCAATTCTAACGGGTTCATTCATTTCATAATTAATCTAAATATGAATTGCTTGACCTAAATTGCTTATTTAAGAGAATATTTAAGATCTATTGATTAAAACTTATTTATATAATTTTAATAGAATCCGAAGTAAGTATTTAAAACATAATAATTGACGCTCCAAGTTAACGTGAAAAACGAGATAATACAAAAGTAATCAATAGTGACAAATAAAGTTCGAAATAATATGTCATGATGGAAATCTGATGAAATTTCTACGACTGATATTTCATGTGTTAGAAGGAAGCTCATTAATAATTAATAACGCGGTCATTTCGTTTCGCGTTACTAAACGATATAGAAATATGACTCTTCGTTCCTTTCGATGACCAGTTCATTCGATAACTCGCTCGTTGGTCAATAATTAATTTGAACTGCGAGTCGCGGGACATAAACGTTTATCGTGCCTCGTTATTGAAATAAACGCTCACCGTTGTTGTCATCTCGAGTCGGCCGAATGTGAATTATTATTTTCCGAGGGAGAGAGAGAAAGGCGTCGCATAATAGCGCTATATCGACTCCGCAAAGTCATAAAATCGAGGTTTCATTGGCGGTATCGGATATCGGCCAACCGACTGCATTTGCATTTAAACATTCATTATGCGCTCTCGTATGTACAGGGTATGTCGTAGAATCACCGCTTATTCTCTCTCAACTGACAATTCTTTGGTCAATTCTTTTGTTTTATGGAAATAATAAATATGAAATTACTCACTTATTGTTAGAAATGTTAGATGTATTGAGATTAAAACATAAATTGTCATGCAAAATTGGTAAGAAAAAAATTCTACTTTTTATTATATGATACCGAGAGTTATTGAAATATTTTGTAAAAATGTGACAAATCTTTTTCGCCAAATTTTCGCTAAACAAACTGTAGCTGAAAACGAAGAAAGAAATGGATCTGAAACACCCTGTACATCGCTTTGGAGCACACAAAAGCAGCTCTTGTCTCAATGGCAAAGGTCGCGCGCGGCCGCCGCGATAGCGGGCGATTCGATTTGTTTTTCTCCGCGAAATCAATCTCCGCGGTAATAATATATAAAGAGTAATGATATACAATTGGAATGTGCAATATGATTCTTTAAAAGGGTCGGCGTCGCGTCGACCCCTGACGACGATCGATTGAAAATTCCCGAGAATATCGATGATGCATTCCCGTTCGTTTGCATTCGCGGAACTCAGATTACCGAAAAACGATATAACGTCGATGGTTTCCGGCGAAAAATCCTCCTAAATTAGATCACCCTAGAACATTAATCCTCGCTGCAATTGCGAGAAAGGAGATTGGCAGCCGCTGATCCCTCATGATTAATTCATTCTGGAAGCAATTAAACGGAGAGAGGACAGTCTCTGTCTGTTCTTAAATGCACGTTGATCCAACTCCTTCCGTTATTACCATAAGGTCGCATTAATTAAATAATTATTTCCATTTAGCTTGTGCAATTTCAAAGAAACGCATCAATGTAATCGCGAACGTATTCAGCAAAACAAGTATATGCATTTAGAGAAAAGAATCAATATTATTCACGTGCAAAATTATAAAATTTGCTAAATGGGAACAGCAATATTATTTACGTCAAATCAGAGTTGACATCTCTACTTATTCTTTCAATACGCAACTTCCGCCTGCCCGATCGTCACGTTATCGAACAAATAGCGTCTAGTTCATATATATATATATTTGTTCGATAACGTGACGATCGGACAGGCGGAAGTTGCGTATTCAAAGAATAAGTAGAGATGTCAACTCTGATTTGATGTAAATAATATTGCTGTTCTCATTTAGCAAATTTTATAATTAGAAAATTTTGCATTAACGTCGCCACCTAATATATATATTAGGTGGCGACGTTAATGCCAACAAAGAAGAAGCCTCGTCATTTCGGCC